GTTTGTGTGAGTCTGTGAAATACTGCCCTTATCAAGCCTCTGCCCATCATGCTGCTCTGAAGAGTAAGAAACTCTTTGAGGAGAAGATGGCAGCCTTTTTCAAAGGCCAAAATACACTATATAGAAATTATTTTATTGAGGGCTTATTTGGGGTTTCTTTTGGAAATAACAGGTCCGAAGTGGCCTTTTATCTTCAAAATCTTTTACTAGGGATGAAGTTGCAATGTATTTGCGTTTATGTTTGTTTTCTCCACTTGCCATTTCTGTACGCTTCCTTTTGTAAAGGCTTTGAAATACAGATGCACCAGTTTATTAAAAAGGTTGGCTTCTGGGCATGTTGTCGAAATAAACATTTGATGGATGTTCCCCAGGTTTTTGAGTTTTGCTGAGAGAACACAATTGTGGCTTTGAGCAGATAGCCCAGTGTGAATTTAGGCCTCCTGGAGGCATTGGGTGACAGAGGCAGAGTTGTGTTTAAGACAGGGAAGGATTACAGTACCTTTCATGGGTCTTTTAGCTTTTCAGAACAATTAGACAAAGGCATCTGTTGGGGAGGTAAATTTGTAATGGCATGTTTGACAGTGTGAGAGACTGAGAAGTGTTTTTAAAATTGTATTTGTTATATTTCCTCTTTTAACTTCACAGGAAACATTGATCTAGTCCATCAATGGTCAAGCATTGATGGCTAATCTCAAAGAAGAGGGAGAGAGGAAGAGCGTGTTCTTTCTTTTTATTGATAACATAATACAGTGCCCTTCTGTGTCCTCGCTTTGCCTTCTTTGTTTCATGCTGTATATTGAATAACAAGACTACGGCATATTAATGGATCAAAGGCTGAGAAGGATACTATTTCTCTCTCTCTCTCTGGCCCTTACCTCTTTCCCTTCACTGTTGTGTATGTCTTTCTTGAGTAGCTGATATAGCTGATGGAAATCGTAAAACTACTTTTTTTTCTTTCCCTCTTTCCACATTGTCTTTTGAGAAAAGCTCATCCATCACCAGTTGAATATCTATGCAGTTGACAGCCCAAGGTAGAGTTCTTCTGGATGTATTGGTATTGCCAAGAAATCTGAAGAGATGTGACCTCCCCATTTTATCATCTCTGAAATTGATGCTGCTGAGAGAATGTCAAGGATATACAGTACTTAGATTCTGATACCCGAAGCATGCTTCACTTTTACACCCCAAGCATTATATTTTTATGGTATAAAAGGCTCAGAATTATGTACTCTTTGCATCTAGTAACCAAGGCACAGTTTAGAAATTATAAGAAAGCTATAAAATACATCACATGCTGAGAACTTAGGTGGTCACACAATAAGTATAGATTGTTACCGGTAATCATTCAGACTAAAATAAATGGGAAAACAAGTTGCAGAAAAGAAGCTTGTTGACTTAAGAACCGTTGGATGTAACACAGAATCATTGTTTAGAGACACCACATCCAAAGATAAGATAGCTGTGATGAGGTTCTGTTTCTGGTAGTAAAAAAACAGGAAGAAGTCTTCACAGCAGGAGTAAGGAGATTTTGGCCGTCTCGATGTTTTGGACTACAACTTTCACAGAACAGCAAGACATTCAACAGTCTGTGCTTTGGATAATTCTGCTGCATCGAGAGCAGTGGTTCTCAGCCTTTTCTGAGTTGTGACCCTCTTGAAATCTGTGACACCCCACCACCACCATGTTTGCATCAAAAGGCATTTTTAATGGGATAAGGTCTCAGAAAGTAGAGGCTTATTTCTCCCCCAGAGGGTCTCAGTGTTTCTCATGCATACAAATACAAGCTAACTTTAATAGCTGGCTCTGAAAGGTCAAGGAAGAAATTACTCAGAGGGTCTCAGTGTTTCTCATGCACGCAAATACAAGCTAACTTTAAAAGCTGGCTCCGAAAGGTCAAGGAAGAAATTATTTAACAAGGGCTACAATACAAGTAAAACACTTTACAACCCCTTGGGTGGGGTCATCATCCTCAGTCTGGGAAACACTGACCTGGAGTAATTGAATAATCTCATCACATCAGCTGAAGAGTACATAGAGCTACCTCTTTCGGTGGTGGCTGATGAAGAGGCAGCAAGGTTAGAGTTATCATTGCTGGCTGATGAAGAGGCAGCAAGGTTAGAGTGGTATGACATGTAGAGTAACTTTTTTTTGGTTGGTACTTTGGTATTACAGAAGCCCAGAATTAATTTCTTGTGGCACAACTAGAAGTTTCTACTTGACACAAAGTTTAGGAGTTGCTTATTTCTGATCCTTGTCTTATGCTATTGTCTATTCAAAATAAGCAGCCAGTGATCTGATTATCTTGGGGTATGGGGTTCTCAGGGATGCTGAGGCCTTCTCAAAACATGGCAAAATTGCCCATGCCTCATAGACAGCACAAGGATATTTTGAGCCAAAAATTTTTCATTTTAAAAAAATTACATTTTGGCAGGGTGGGTGAGTTGGGGGGAGAATTTGAGCCCCTGACTTGCACTGTAGAGGTAGGAAGCAATTCCTGTTGTTAACAGTTTTACAGAACAAACACGTACAAACAGATTTGTTTTTTTCTCCTTTGCTGTATCTTGCAATTTTGGGACTTGAAAGAAGCTCTTCAATCAACACACTCCTGTGTGTAATTGCAATCCTTGTTGCTCCCCGGCTGCGCTGTGGCATCTTGCAGGCTTTAAAAGGGGGAGAAAGGGGTTTCTGGTTTTGTGATGCATAGGAGATTCAAAACTAGTACTAGAGTGTCTGTTCAAAGCCATCTTGCTCTATGCTTTTCAAATAAGTTAGATAAGTCTATGTGTATATCTAAAGACGGGTGTCATATACTGAAATGCCATGAATAATGAAAACAGAGACAAAACAAAAAGAAAAAATAAACAACAGTGGCACCTTCTATAAGATATATTTCAACATGAAAGTTTATGGATTACAGTACAGTTCTTAAGACATGTTTTTGCTGAAACAGACCAATATGGCAACCTTTCTGAAAAAAGTTCTCCAAAGAATTCATTTCTAATTAGTACAAAGCCTTTCTAAAATCATGACCCAGAGGCTTGATTTTTGTTTTTTAAAAATTGGAGATCGAACATCTGGACAAAGCCTATGTCTGTCACTGTGCTGGGTTCTTTCTTGTGTTTTTAATAAATGAGATTCGAAGTCACTTGTACGCACAGAATATCTTGACCAGCCTTCACCAACCACATCTGTTGAGCTGCAGCCCAACAGCATGGTCTTGGCCTATGGCAATATTGTTTACTAGCAGCAACGGGGAAATGTAGGCTTCCTCCATATGCTGCGTTGGCCTGTGTGTTATACTCAGCATATCTACCACAGTTTATTTTAAAGTGAAATGAGGCAGTGCACAGAAGGATGCATAACTTTCCCCTCATTTATTTTGCAGCATATCCTGTTTTTCCAGCCCATCTACCTTGTGAGGAACTATGTGTGGAAGATAGTAGTATGCTAAGCATGCACAATTGGGAGAAGGCTTATCTCCTCAAAATAGGAAAGCCCCTATGAACAAAAGCATTTGCTTGAAACAAATTACGTATTGTGTAGCTCTTGGAAAACAAGTAAACCTGGATGGGTTAGTTAAGATGTTTTTACTGTGAGGGAATAGCCTAACGGCCACTGATTAGAAGGTGGATATGGATCTCCTGGTAGATTTCGGGGATGGGGGGAGGAATCGATCCCAGTCCATGATTGCCACTACCTCTACGGTTCTCAGAATTACTGTTAAAGCTTCTGGTCCATGTATCGAGGGAGGGATCATGAGTTGCAATGTCTGTACTATTACACTACAGTTGTGCCTCACAAGACTAATTTAATTCGTTCCACGGATAATGTTGTCTTGAGAAAAATTCACCTTGCGAAACGTGGTTTCCCATAGGAATGCATTGAAATCTAATTAATGCGTTCCTATGGGCAAAAAAAGTCAGAACAAAGTCAAATTTGGTTTACAAAGGGTTTATTAAGTGCTCTTTAAAGCCATACATATTGTGCAGATGATTTTAAAAAATTCAGTCAAAAAACTTTTATAACTTTTTAAACATCATAGAAAAAACATTTAAAAATCAGCAAACATGAGGCAGGAACAAAAAACGGAAAACATTCATCTTGCAAAGCACGGCCATAGGAACATTTGTCTGGCGAGTCATGAACCCACCCACCCCCATTGCCAAAACCATTTGTCTTGCGAGTTTTTTTTGTCCTGCGAGATATTTGTCTTGTAAGGCACCACTGTACTTTAATGTATACAAGAGAGGTAGTGTGGTGAGTTGGTTAAATCATTGGACTAGGACTTGGGAGACACGGGTTCAATGAAACACGCTTAGGCCAATACCTTTCTTTCAGCGACACCTACCTTACCAGAATTGTTGCAATGATAACATGGGAAGGAGGACAGTCATGTCCATGTGGGGAGAAGGACTGAAGGAGAGATGTGTTCTTCATCATCTTCTCTGTGAATGCGCACAATGGGTTTGTCTTCTGTGCATGTGCAATCTTTGGAGCCTCATAGAGCTGAAAAATCGGGGGATTGTTAGAGGCCCCGCCCTCCCACATTGCCTGTTCGCGCCTCTAACAGTCAACCCTCAGTTCCTTTTTGCCACCACTTCGTGCATGTGCAGAAGACTAACCCATTGTGTGAATTCATGGAGATCCACTTGAAGAACCACAGTTATGGAAAGGAACCTATCCTTATTTGAGCTTATTGGGGGAAGGAAATGGTACAAATGAACATATGGCAGAAAACACTCTGGCCTAACCTTTCCTAGATTTACTAATTTTTTTCTGTAGAAATATTTTTAAAATATAGGGGAGCATGAGGGGCACAACCTTCCATCAGAAATACTACACCATGTGCTTTTTCTGAGTTTTTGAAATAATGACTGATGTTTAAGGAATAATACTCCAACAACTTGGGAGAGATTTCCAGCAATAAGGCCTTGTTAAAGGATAAATCCTAAAATTAACAGAATATCTTTTCTTTATTGTTGACTTTTGATTTCCATTAGGTGGCCATGTCTGCCAAAGCAATTTCTGAGCAGACAGGGAAAGAGTTCTTGTATAAATATATTTGCACATCTTCGGCCATCCAGAACCGCTTCAAATATGCCCGAGTAACTCCTGATACTGACTGGGACCGGCTAATCCAAGATCACCCATGGCTGTTGACTGAGGTGAGTAGAACACGTTGCGGTTGCTTCGCCTTTTTCTTGATCTCCTTCCACTACGCCTGTAATAAGGAAAACATTCCAGTTCCTCAGCAAAATGATTTTACAACAGTGGTTCCCAAACTTTTTTGAAGGCCCCCTTTTATAATAGCCAAGTAACCAGTGACCCGCCGCTAGGTTCGTATAAAAAGGCATTTTTAATGGGGTGAAGTCCTCCCAACTCAGAAAGTAGAGGCTTCTTTCTCCCTCAGAGGAGTTATTTCTCATACACACACATACATGCGAACTTTAATATCCCTCTTTGAAAACATAACACACACACCTCGAAAACACTTTGCAACCCTTTGGGGGTCATGACCCCTAAGTGAGGAAACACTCTTTTAGAAGGAGGTAGAGCACCAGTGGCCCTTCAGAGGTCACTGCACCCCAGCCAGCATGGCCAGGGCTGAGGGATAATAAGGACTCAAGTCCATCCATTCTGAAAGGCCACAGCACCCCTGTGTCTTGTTTTAGGATGTGAGAAGTCTTATGGTTCCTATTAGTATGTGCAAAGAGGAATGTGGTTGAGATTGGAATCACTGACTCAGGGGCAAGTACAGTGGACCCTTGACTTACAGACAGCTTGACTTACAGACTTTTTGAGTTACAGACTTCTCTGGCCGCAAAATTTAGGTTTGACTTGCAGCCTGAGAATTGACTTACAGACCAGAAAAAAACCAAAATGGAACAAAAATGGCGTGTTACGGGATTAATCGGTTTTCAATGCACTGTAGGTCAATGGAGACTTGACTTACAGACTTTTTGACTTGAGAACCGCCTTCCAATATGGATGAAGTTCTCAAGTCAAGACCCCACTGTACCCTTATGTCTCCACAATGGATTGTGTGGCACTTCAGTACTCCTGGAAGTGGGACAGGAGAAAGGAGGCCTGCATAAAGGACTCCAGCCAATCAGCAGTCTGGATTGTGAGCCAATCTGTGTTTTGGTGATATATACCAAGAGGCAGAAGGCGCCTTGTGGTGGTGCAGTGTTTAAACTGCAGTATGGCAGTGAAGACTCTGCTCACAACCGGAGTTCAATCCCAACAGGCTCAGGTGGTTGTCTCAAGGTGGTCTCAACCTTCTATCTTGCTAAGGTTGGTAAACTAAGTACTCAGCTCATGGGGTGGGGGCAATGCATATCTTGCCTAATTAAATTGTAAACCACCCAGAGAAAGCTTTACGCAATATGGGGCCATATATAAGCAGCACACTTTGATTTGCTTTCAATGGAGGAGAGTCACTGACTTTTTCACCTGCCTAAACAACTCAAAGGTTTTACCTTTGGCCCAGAAAATTTTGACACCCCTTCTCCCATGCATCATAACTGGCACAGCTGACTCGATGCTGACATGAATATCTGGTTGGCCATGGGATTGGTAGGGTATTCTTAAATTGTATTCACGAAGGCTTTCACGGCCGGGATCTAATGGTTGTTGTGGTTTTTTCGGGCTCTTCACCAGAGCACAGAGTGCTGTCCTCTAAAGATGCTGGCCACAGAGACTGGCAAAACGTCAGGAAGAACAACCTTCAGAACACGGCCAAAGAGCCCGAAAAACCCACAACAACCATTATTCTTAAATTATTCCCTTTGTTTTGAAATATCTTTTATTGTTGCTATAAGAGCAACAAATATTTTAATTTTAAAAAGTATACTGATTACAGGAACAAATCAGTCATCTGTCACTGTAAATGAACTTTGAAAAAAAAACCACAGGACTTTTAAACAACTTTTAGTCAGGTTAAGTAGCATGGCTAAGACTCTTTGCCAAACAGTTTTTCTCTTTTGCTTGAATCCTGAAACACCAGTGTTGGCCTCCAGTCCCAACACCGCAGGAGTAAAGTAAGGTAGAAGCAACACATTTTAGAAGGCTTCTTTTCAAAGGCACTTAACTTAAGCAGGCAGCAGGTCACTTCCTCAGGCACCATCAGGTTCCGCATGGAATGTTTCTGGTTCTTACATCAAGCAGGAAAGGGTCACTGGCAGCCGTAGGCAGCGTCCGTGCAGCTGATGATTGCTGATACATCTGTTGAGAGATGTCTGAAGGTACAGGAGGTAGCAGGTGGGAGAAGCAATAGGAATAATAAGAAGCCATATTCTGTTGAGCCAGACCATTTAGCTCATAACTGTTGGCATTGAATGACAGCAGCTCTTGAAAGTTTCAGATGGGAGTTTTTTCTTACCCTACTTGAAGATGCTGAGTAATGAACTGAAGGATAGCTGGTGTGAATAGTGATGGTTCTACCACTGAATGATGATTCCTACCCATCCCCTTTTGCTTTTGGAGAAACTAGGGATTAGCAAAATCTACTGCTGCTTTTGCTGACAAATGGCACCATCATAAAGAAAAAGTTAATTAAAGCGTCTCCTATATAATAGCATTTTCATGGTATGTTTGATCATTATAAAATCAAGACTGGTCAATTAATGCTATCTTACCTCTCAATTGAACCACTCTGATATTTTGCATCTTTTATTAATGCAGTATCCCACAATCTCTGCAGGTAGAAGCTAATTTCCCACATGCCCTTTCATGTGAACTGTTTCGGTTGGTTTTACTTTTGTTTTTCGGAGTCTGTCTATTCCCCACTTTTCCTGAATTCTTCAGTTTGCACAAATAGAATTGCAATCAGGAGACACTGTGTCCTGTCCTTGGATCATTTCTATGGCTTGTTCTCCTGGCTGCCATCCAGTTTAATCACATTTAGCTGGGTGCGGATCTGTCCCATTTTTCTTGCTGATGGAAGGCAGCTGATTATATGGGTAGCTAATTAAATCATCTGCATTAAGTTTGCATTGAGCCAGTTGCTGGCGTGTCTCAGCAAGGAGAATGCAAGACTGTAAGCCTTACCAAGACACAGCAATGGTCTAAGTGCCCTTTTGTTTTAATTGTAGGATCCTTAAAGCAGGAGCTGGAAAAATATTTTTTTTTATTCCTAGCTGTAGGAAAATAGAGCAAGAGGGGTCAACTGTATAAGGCAGCATCCCTTACAGAGGTATGGAGATTTGTGCTTTTGGAATGCATCTCTCTGAATTTTCCAGGCAGCAGAGAATTCTGAGAACTGTAGTCCAGAATCACAAATCTGTATACCCCTGCATAGGATGTTGCCTTATACCAGTGGTCCCCAATCTTGGGCCTCCAGATGTTCTTGGGCTACAGCTCCCCAAAGCCTTCACCACCACCTCTACTGGCCAGGATTTCTTGGGAGTTGAAGTCCAAGAACATCTGGAGGCCCAAGGTTGGGGACCACTGCCTTAAACAATTGATCCCTCTAGCCCAGTATTGTGAACTCTAACTGGCAGTAATTGTCCAGGGTTTCAGGCAGACATTTTCTTTAACCTGGAGAGGTCAGGGATTGAACCTGGGGCCTTCTGCACGTGAAAGCACAAGCACTGCCCCTGAGCTTTTGCCCTTCCTTTTGAATGTTTAAGGTATCTCTTATGTAGAACCACTTGCCTGTTGGAAGTAGAAATCTCCGCAGAGGTGATCAGACAGAGAAGCCATTGTAAAAGTTCATACATTTGGGGAAGGGGCACATAATACACTGAGGGAATAACTGCTGCCATAAACAGATTTTCCCAGTAAATAACAATAAAAATTCCTTACCAAGGCACCATATTTCAACATAGCCCATATAAATTATGGCATTTGAGCAGACGTAAGCACAAGCCACATAATTTATTCTCTGTTTCCTTGTCAGGATAGTAAATAACTCATACATAACCCTAATTCAGCTCTCCCCCAGTTCTTCTGGACTAGAAGCAAATATTTATGCTTTTTTGAAAGCAGGTTTGAGGCCTGTGGGGATTTATAAAACGTCCTGGCAAAGGGTGGGCCATGTTGATTGGGAGCTATAGAGAACCCTTGACCGTGATGGAAGCTGCTTTTCTTGAGTCCTAGAGTTTTTTAGTTCAGCTCTTCTCTAGACACCCCATTGCTACAATCACCGAGAGAAAGTGAAGCCAGTAGGGGAGGGTCCTACAGTTGCTACTTTCCAGTGTGGATTTGAACAATCATGGTGCCCAATAAGTGCCTCCATGCTTGTAAGGATTGCTGCTGGAGTGTGCAAACTAGCCTTGCTAGCTTCTGCATTGCTTTGTGCGATGTTTTTTTGTGGAGAGTATTTTGAATACCTAAACCGGGGAGGGGGGCAGAAATGACAGTTTGTTTGCAAACTGTTATCTCTTCACCTGCAAAACCAGATTTCTGATATTGTACATTTTTTCTTTGTAAAATTCCAGCGTCTTGTGGTGAAGCCTGATCAGCTGATAAAACGACGTGGCAAACTGGGTTTGGTGGGTGTGAACCTGGACTTGGATCAAGTGAAGGCCTGGCTAAAGCCACGTCTTGGACAAGAAACCACAGTGAGTGCTGTCATTATTTCTCAGTCTAATCCACGTAGCTGAGTTTCTGTGACACTGAAGCTCCTTTGAGAAGAGGGACAGGATATACATGAGTACATAAACATTAGATGTGTGTGGATTTCTGTTTTAGGACTACAAACCCCAGAATTCCCAAGTGGGACTCTGATAGTAGAAATCTGCACAACTCTAATAAAAATTAAGCAAGATTGACTTGTCATTCTAAAGTCTTGTGGCGGGGGGGAGCACAATATTTCAAAATAATATGGCAGTTCATGTATCTTGTTTTTAGAGGAAGGGATCCCATCAATCCCTCCATGTGTTTCATGGATGTCAAGCCCTGGTGCCACTCTCATGATGTCCCTCCCCTCAGAGCCACTTGGACGTTTTCAGCAGAGTGGTCACGGACACTTCTACATGGATGGGTATATATTGAGGGCTCTGGAATGTTAACATTGAAGGAAGAGTGACAGGCAGCTCCCATCAAGAAGCGTTGTCACTGCTTGAATAAGCAAATGGAAGAAAGCATAAGGACGCCAGAACAGCGGGGAAAGCAGAGGAACTGAGGAGAGATGAGAAGGAGTGAGAAAGTAGAGAAGGGAGCAGGTGGCTGGCTGGCTCAGAGGACAAGAGATAAGAAGGATGCAGAAAAGGGGACATAGAAACAGAAGTAGAGAATGAGATATCAGTGAGGGAAGGAATGCATTGAAGGAGAGAAGGCACATAAAGAAAAAAAGTTGGGTCAGTAGAACAGATCCTTTGGATTTATGCGAACTGAAAAAAAATTACCGTGTCTGCTATTTTCATTACCAGTGTGGCACAAAAACAGGAATCTGTCTGGATCTTCATAATTTGAACAGTAGATCTTGCGAAAGCATCTGTAAACTCATCAGAGAGGACATGTTTGCATTCACAAATGTATTCTGTGATTTGTTTGTGTTTTTGTTGAAACCAGTGCAAAAAACCATGAAGATTTTGGTGTGTGGGGTTTTTCTTTTCTTTTCTCTGTAGCATTGTTGGGAAACTCTGAACCTGATTTTATTGTGCAGTCTATAGATACCAATGCCAATTTTAATTTCGCAATGGGTGGAGGTGAACCCAATCCAAAAAAGCACACACATTCAAGAGGATCTATGTGACTTCTGTTGGATCTGATTTCCACCTGGAGCCCATGGAAAACAATGTGTGTGGGGAGGTGGGGGGGATTCATGCATATATATATTTTGTTTTTTTTGGGGGGAGAGCAGAAGAGCAAGCCTAGGAAAGTCAAGCACCCACAGTACCTCCCTAGAATTGCAAAGGGAATCAAGCTCCCCAAAGACTGATATGCATATTTCTGAGAGATGCTAGTTTTAAAAAACATATGTTTATTTCTTATTTTCCACAGATTGCTAAAGCTAACGGCATCTTGAAGAATTTCTTGATAGAACCTTTTGTTCCACACAAGCAGGTCAGTTTCATTTGCACACAGCTATTTACAGATATTTATGGATACAGAATAATCAGGGAAACAAGACTGCATGTGTAAATCTTCACTTTAATTCTGATGAGTTTGCATTCTAATAATAGACAGCTCTCTGTTGTTGAGAAACTCCTGTAAAGAGCAGGGTGTGAAAAGTTGCTTTAACCCAAATTTCCCCAATCCTTGTGCCTTACAGATGTGTTAGGCTACAATTCCCCTTTATTCAATAGTCATGCCAGCATTTCTGGAAGGCACCAGATAATAGATGGCTGGTCCGGCTTATGGAAGAAAGATGACTGTAGTTCTTATTGTGGCACAGTTTTGCTGAACACTGAGACTGGAAGGATGATGACAGAATAGACCAGAAGCATTCCTAGATAATCTCCAAATGTGTATCATTTTTGCAGTTCTCATGTCCCGATATCTTACGCACCATAAAAAAAAATCCACTTGCCTCTCCTCAGTTCAGCCGAGTGAGATCATGAATTCAGTCGTCATGAATTGTATTTTCTTGTGTGATGATAATACAGATCAAAAATGAAGATAATTGCTTCTGAGCAAGGTCAATATTTCCAGAATAGGCCTCACTCTCTGAATTGTGCGTTGTTGTTTTTTGGAGGGGGGGGGTATGTGTCAGTGACATCACAGTGTGACCAAATTCAGTTGGTTTTATGGTGTCGCTGCTAGGAAGACAGCTTGTTTGTGGGTATCAGAGAACAATGGTGCTAAAATATAGCTAATAGCAGCCAAGCTAAAAGGCGAGCCAACACAATGATAAGGGGAGGATTCTTAATGTGTGTTAGGGAACATTTTTCCTTCCCACCATGAACTAATTTCTGAAAACTTTTCTTATGAACAATTGCTGAAATGGGGGCTGCTTATGGTAGAAGCACCCGAAATTATGGGAAGTCTTTTCTCAATTTTGGGTCAGCTCTGCCAAGTCCTTACTCTTCTGCAGTGCAAATTTTCCAGGTTGTATGCCGAGGCAATAATTTGGTACAGTCTTGCAGCCCAATAGCACTATCCTCTTTCTTTAAAGGACCTTTTCCTGTGGGGTAACTTCAGAAAATGCACAATGATACCTTGATGCACCTGAATGTCTGTATTTTATTTCATCAGGCTTCATATTCTTAATACCAATTCACTGTCTCCAAATTCACAGACAGAGGAGTTCTATGTATGCATTTATGCAGCTCGTGAAGGAGACTATGTACTGTTCCACCATGAGGGTGGAGTGGATGTTGGGGACGTTGATGCCAAGGCTCAGAAGCTGCTGGTGCGCGTGGATGAGAAGCTGTACGAATCGGATATCAAGAAGCATCTATTGGTGCATGTTCCGCAGGATAAGCGAGAGTGAGTCTGAGACTTTGGTTTGTATTTACAGCAGTGTTTTGGTAACAAACCAACCAACAACCAAATTTGAAAGTGCAGGTGTTCATCACCCCCCCCGCCCCGAGAATCCGAAAATAAAGACAGCTGAGTCTGTCCATATCAATATAAGAAGGTTTTTTTTTTTGGTAAAGCTAATGTCTATGGATTGCTTTAAGTCCAAACCACACTCAAATACTTTGCAGTACTAGGGAGATAACTCACAAAAAGATAATTGTTCATGGTGACATCCATTTCGCTCTCAGCTCCTGAGGACTGCAGTTAAGCTTGGAGTTGTGGATGATATCAGAGTCCTTTCTACTCAGAAAATCCTGGGGCTTTGACCCTGTGAGCTCTGGCTCCACTACATCCCAACATAGTGGAGAATCTGGAAGGGAAGTTTTATGGAGGGGAGTTATACTCACACAACCAGTCAATATAAGACAGCTCAGAGTGGCATGTGATGTCCACCACCACCTCCCAGAAGTAATCTTTGGATATCCACAAGGTCTCTTCCGCTTTGCTTTTGGCTGTTGGACAGAAACACTACAGGTAGTGGCTAGAAAATGCTGCAGAGCTTGCCTTACAGTCCAGGGACACAAAGAAATGGCTTTAGGTCATGTCCGGTACTCAAATACCAAGACACTTCTCAATATATCTAAGTTTATTGTAATGCCCAATGGATATTTGAAAGATGTATAGAACTAAATCCACTTGTTACTCCATATCACGTAAACCCACTGAATCAATGGGATTCACATAAGTGATGACTTAAAGTCCCTTTCATTAAGTAGGTGTGTTGTACAGTGGTGCCCCGCTTGACGATTACCCCGTTAGACGATGAAATCGTTTGACGATGAGTTTTTTGCAATCGCTACAGCAAAACGATGATTCCAATGGGTTTTTTTCATTTTACAACGATCAGTTCCCTGCTTCGGGAACCAATTTTTCACTTCACGATGATTAAAAACAGCTGATCGTCGAGTTTTCAAAATGGCTCCCCGCTGTTTTTCCGGACCTATTTCTGGAAGACAGCGATGCAAAATGGCTTCCCCTATGGAGGGTCTTCGCTGGATGAGCAGGTATTTCCCCCATTGGAATGCATTGACCAGTTTTCAATGCATTTCAATGTTTTTTTTCCACTTGACGACGATTTTGCTTAACAGCGATTTTAACGGAATGCATTATCGTCAAGCAGGGCACCACTGTAATTAGGACAAATGACTGGATTTAGTCTGCAAGAGTAAAAAGGTTGCAAATAATTTTTTAAAAGTTGTATTACAAACTAGCTGCTTTAAAAGATGGATTCCGATAATACATAAATTCCCATATCTGCTGAATAGTCTTCAACATTATCCTGACACCAAATCCTTTTTTAATTAAAAGAAAAGAAAAACTCCTTAAATGCCATTCCTATCAAATTATGCCAAATTGTGACTAGGAGTAAAGCATTTCCATTCTCTATTAAATCCCCTCCCTTTTATACTGCAAGCAATCAGTCTTAGTACTTGACAAGGATGGTGAGTAAATTTTCTGTTTCTTTATACAACATTTTCTGATTTTTGTGTGTATCTGTGAGTCAGATGGCAGTGGTGCCTTAACATTTTCCGATTTTTGTGTGTGAGTATCTGTGAGTCAGATGGCAGTGGTGCCTTGCTATCTGCAATTTCTTAATGTGAAGATGCATTTGACATTTTAAAGGAGACATCTCTCATTTAATGACATTGATGGCTGTTATGTGGGCTTCATGGAGGGGCAGGCAACGTCTGGCTTTGCTTCTCTGTCTCAGAGTCTGACTCATCCAAGTCCAGACCTCTGAGTCATCAGCTGAAGTCAGAGAAATTGTAGGAATGCATCATAGACCTATCTAACAAGCCAAGTGCAGAGAGAAAGTGATTTTTTAAAATATCTATCTGTTCTAATAAATTAATGTTTTGTTCTTTTCCGTTGTGTATCTCCTTCATGTAGCATTTTGGCAAGCTTCATCTTGGGCTTATTCAACCTTTATGAAGATTTATATTTTACATACCTGGAAATCAATCCACTAGGTAACTCTTTTCTCCATTATTACTGCAGGGGTGTTGGTGACTATATTTCATCTTCTAATTCTGTAGGTCTCAACGATTCCTTAAATCTTTGGAGAGCAGAAAATGAAGATGAATGGAGGACTTTTTGCTGTAGACAGTAGATTCACACACATTCTTATTGTTGTCAGACTGATTTTAAATTATTCTTCCTCAAACAAGAAAGGCCCATCAGTCTTAGACAATGCTGTCACAGTTGAACCTTTCCTGCAATTAATTGTGATGCCCTGTTTTAGCAAACCCCCCAAAAACGAACTCTTCACAAACAGTTCTGAAGAACCAGCTTTGATCCTACAGGCTTTGTGAATCAAATGACCAAAATGTACATAATTAAACACATCATAGATCTTCTCTTTTTCATGTGTTTACAATAAAAGCTATGAGCTCTCTTGGTTGATGCATAACAAAACAAAACAGAGAAAAATAGAAAGAAGATAGGGTCTTGTTGAAACGCTGCATTTACTTCGTCATCACCATCATCCTGCATGATGTTTTTGTTTCTAGTCTGTTTGATGCAACAAGCCTGTGTGATGGATTGAGCTTGGATATGTAGCGATGTGAGATTAATGACCAAGTGGCGATATGAAGCTGAGCCTCTCTACCTCAAGTCAAACATGCTAGCCATTACACATATAGACTGCAGATGTGTATGTGCTAACTGCAGCGCTGAAAAGTGGCAGAGAGTCGTGTTCATAGCAGAAGAAAGTGACTTGTGACAATCTAAAAGATAACTTGTCATGAGAACACAGGAACCCACCTTAGACTGAGTCAGACTGTTGGTTCATCTAACTGGGCATCACCCCGACCACCAGCAGCCTTCTGTTGAGTGACCCACTGTCTAGTATTATACTGACTCGCAGCAAGGTTTTAGACAGGAGACTTCTTTAGTCTTTCCTGGAGGTGTCGAGAGTAGAATGCTCTACATGCACAACATGTGCTCTGGCTTCTTGCCTGCTTTTCTCTTTATGAGCTAAAATTCATTGTCTGTAATGGGCTGAGTGCAGGTCCATTGAAATGGAGTTGGAAAAATTCCAGGCTGTCCCTGTGGTGGTCCTGTATCTGTTGCTGACCAATCGTCTGATGTTAACAGCAGGTGTGCAGGAAGGTCTCCTAAAGCAGATCTTATATGAGCAAGATCCTATGCATACAGTAAACCCTTCAGAGAAGCTAACCCTAAACTATTAAGGGCTTTAAACTTTAGGACAAGCACTTTGAATTGGGTATAGAAACCTAACTGTGAGAGGGTTAGATTTGGTTTATATTTTCTGGATGCCCTAGGCCTAGGGTGGTAAGGAGGATGTGTTTAGCCTCAGGAGAAGATGCCTCCCTGCAAACACAAGTATGTGGAGCATGCCTAAATGAAAAGTCTTGCATAACTGATTGTGCAAACCTTTGCACAGGTCCTTTGACAGACTCTGTTAATAATTGCCAAACTGTTTCAGGACATGCTCATGTGCCACCAGTAGTGTATTTGCACAAAGGTTTTCTGCAGAGACATTGTTTTATTTGAAAAGTAGCCTCTAATCTTCATACTGTGGCTCTACTGTAGCACCTCTTGGAATAGCTCACAAAGAGGAGGTTGGCCAGAGTACCTCTGCATGAATTACTGTTCTAATCTTCCCTGGAAACAGACAGATCAGTCCACCTCCAGTCTGTGTCAGTTTTGCAGTGTTCATTCATAAGTCTATTCTGTTCCATTTCTTCAACAGACTCTAATTTTGTGCATGCCACTCCTGAAGTATATGTTTGAATATATATTTTGAAACAAGAACTGTATTACAGCGTTGAGAGAAGTGCAGAAACTGAAGGAGAGCCTGCATATTGGTCTAAGGAAGTGTCAGTTTGGTTGGTTTGCTTACAAACGCAGACCGAATGAAACACAGGGGCATCCCAACTTGTAGGAATCAGGATGTCCAGGATAATCATATAGAAATATAAAAGATGGTCTTTTCTGAAACTGGGTCGTTTCTCCTCATATGCATTCGAAAAGATAAAGAGTTTGTGATAAGAGAAGGTCTGCTTTCAGATTTAATTTGAACGTTTGCCCAAGTTTGCTCCATTTGGGAGACACGGGCTGTGCTGCTGTATCTGTGATGTCGGGTCTCTTTCAGAGCTTAAGAGTTACTTTGGTGAACTCTAGCTTCCAGAATCCTCCAGCCCACATGATCACTTGGAGATTCTGAGGTTGAAATTCGAAAAAGTAACTGCTGAGCTCTTGTTCGTGTTTCTTCTAAATCTTCATTAAGGAAAACGCCCCACGAGGCACCTGATACCCGGTTGATTTGCATATTTTTCTGGGCAGCTGTTCCAGGAGGATTCATACTAACCTGCTTTTTTTTCCTTCTCTCTTTTGAAACGAAGTTGTAACTGCCGGTGGTGTTTACATACTGGACCTGGCTGCAAAGATTGATGCGACGGCTGATTACATCTGCAAAGGGAAATGGGGCGATGTGGAATTTCCCCCTCCTTTTGGAAGAGAGGCTTACCCAGAGGCAAGTGAAATGGCTCCTCCTGGTGTAGTTTTGAGCAACCGACTACCTTAAAGCAAGGGCGGGCCGCCTGATGCCTCTGATATATTTTAGACTACTATATCCATCATCCTTATGCACTGACCAAGCCACTTTAGGTTTCTGGGAGATGCAGAGCAGAACATCTGAAGGCCTCCAACTTTCCTACTGGTCTGTAAAGTGTTGCCATGTGCAATAGTGGACAGCGTGTCAGGTCAGGTCTAGCACACTTGGTTTCCGCTCCTCAGTCAGGCCCAAAGTTCACTGAGGGATTGTAGGCCATTCACCAACTCTACCTCACAGCCTAATCTACCTTACAGGGTTGTTGAGTGGATAAAATATGGAGGGGAAGACTCGGTAAAGTCTCCTTGTTGCCTTGTGCACCTCAGAGAAAATGCAATATATAATTAAAATAAGAGGCACAGAACACAGGAAATTTGCTATATTGTGAGTCATTAAACTTTCCCCATTTCAGCTGAACAAGTGCCTTCTCATGAGGCTTAGTCCTGGTCTAAGTGTTTGATGGAGAAGAAGTGGTGAAATGTTGAGTGGTAGAAAGGACTCCACTACTTGACATTAGAAGGGAAATCATGTTTTAAATGTTTCTTTCTATTTTTAAAAAAACCAGTTCTTTGGAAATACAAGAATAGCCTAGCCGAGAGTGTGCTAGGCTAGCTTCTGTCTTCCACCTGTTCTGTGCCGAAGGTTGCCAGACAGAGAGGAGAACACATGGAGCCCTGGGAATATGATTTGCTGACTTCTCTGATTTTCATTAATGCATCCCAAGATGCAATAGAGATCTATAATTTAGCGGTGCTCTCCTCTGCCCTGGGGATAAAGCAGATTATAGAAGGAAGTACCCCAGGTTTTCTCCAAAGTGTTTTGAAGAACCTTTAAATGTTTGTTTGTTTGTTTGTTTGT